TGGGAAATCGAGGGAGGGGGGAAAAGACGGAGGGACGGAGTTGGGAAATCGAGGGAGGGGGGAAAAGACGGAGGGACGGAGTTGGGAAATCGAGGGAGGGGGGAAAAGACGGAGGGACGGAGTTGGGAAATCGAGGGAGGGGGAAAAGACGGAGGGACGGAGTTGGGAAATCGAGGGAGGGGGGAAAAGACGGAGGGACGGAGTTGGGAAATCGAGGGAGGGGGGAAAAGACGGAGGGACGGAGTTGGGAAATCGAGGGAGGGGGGAAAAGACGGAGGGACGGAGTTGGGAAATCGAGGGAGGGGGAAAAGACGGAGGGACGGAGTTGGGAAATCGAGGGAGGGGGGAAAAGACGGAGGGACGGAGTTGGGAAATCGAGGGAGGGGGGAAAAGACGGAGGGACGGAGTTGGGAAATGGAGGGAGGGGGGAAAAGACGGAGGGACGGAGTTGGGAAATCGAGGGAGGGGGGAAAAGACGGAGGGACGGAGTTGGGAAATCGAGGGAGGGGGGAAAAGACGGAGGGACGGAGTTGGGAAATGGAGGGAGGGGGGAAAAGACGGAGGGACGGAGTTGGGAAATCGAGGGAGGGGGGAAAAGACGGAGGGACGGAGTTGGGAAATCGAGGGAGGGGGGAAAGACGGAGGGACGGAGTTGGGAAATCGAGGGAGGGGGGAAAAGACGGAGGGACGGAGTTGGGAAATCGAGGGAGGGGGGAAAAGACGGAGGGACGGAGTTGGAAATCGAGGGAGGGGGGAAAAGACGGAGGGACGGAGTTGGGAAATCGAGGGAGGGGGGAAAAGACGGAGGGACGGAGTTGGGAAATGGAGGGAGGGGGGAAAAGACGGAGGGACGGAGTTGGGAAATGGAGGGAGGGGGAAAAGACGGAGGGACGGAGTTGGGAAATCGAGGGAGGGGGGAAAGACGGAGGGACGGAGTTGGGAAATGGAGGGAGGGGGAAAAGACGGAGGGACGGAGTTGGGAAATCGAGGGAGGGGGGAAAAGACGGAGGGACGGAGTTGGGAAATCGAGGGAGGGGGGAAAAGACGGAGGGACGGAGTTGGGAAATCGAGGGAGGGGGGAAAAGACGGAGGGACGGAGTTGGGAAATCGAGGGAGGGGGGAAAAGACGGAGGGACGGAGTTGGGAAATCGAGGGAGGGGGGAAAAGACGGAGGGACGGAGTTGGAAATCGAGGGAGGGGGGAAAAGACGGAGGGACGGAGTTGGGAAATCGAGGGAGGGGGGAAAAGACGGAGGGACGGAGTTGGGAAATCGAGGGAGGGGGGAAAAGACGGAGGGACGGAGTTGGGAAATCGAGGGAGGGGGGAAAAGACGGAGGGACGGAGTTGGGAAATCGAGGGAGGGGGGAAAAGACGGAGGGACGGAGTTGGGAAATCGAGGGAGGGGGGAAAAGACGGAGGGACGGAGTTGGGAAATCGAGGGAGGGGGAAAAGACGGAGGGACGGAGTTGGGAAATCGAGGGAGGGGGGAAAAGACGGAGGGACGGAGTTGGGAAATCGAGGGAGGGGGGAAAAGACGGAGGGACGGAGTTGGAAATCGAGGGAGGGGGAAAAGACGGAGGGACGGAGTTGGGAAATCGAGGGAGGGGGAAAAGACGGAGGGACGGAGTTGGGAAATCGAGGGAGGGGGGAAAAGACGGAGGGACGGAGTTGGGAAATCGAGGGAGGGGGGAAAAGACGGAGGGACGGAGTTGGGAAATCGAGGGAGGGGGGAAAAGACGGAGGGACGGAGTTGGGAAATCGAGGGAGGGGGGAAAAGACGGAGGGACGGAGTTGGGAAATCGAGGGAGGGGGAAAAGACGGAGGGACGGAGTTGGGAAATCGAGGGAGGGGGGAAAAGACGGAGGGACGGAGTTGGGAAATCGAGGGAGGGGGGAAAAGACGGAGGGACGGAGGGGGGGAATCGAGGGAGGGGGGAAAAGACGGAGGGACGGAGTTGGGAAATCGAGGGAGGGGGGAAAAGACGGAGGGACGGAGTTGGGAAATCGAGGGAGGGGGAAAAGACGGAGGGACGGAGTTGGGAAATCGAGGGAGGGGGAAAAGACGGAGGGACGGAGTTGGGAAATCGAGGGAGGGGGAAAAGACGGAGGGACGGAGTTGGGAAATCGAGGGAGGGGGGAAAGACGGAGGGACGGAGTTGGGAAATCGAGGGAGGGGGGAAAAGACGGAGGGACGGAGTTGGGAAATCGAGGGAGGGGGGAAAAGACGGAGGGACGGAGTTGGGAAATCGAGGGAGGGGGGAAAAGACGGAGGGACGGAGTTGGGAAATCGAGGGAGGGGGGAAAAGACGGAGGGACGGAGTTGGGAAATCGAGGGAGGGGGGAAAAGACGGAGGGACGGAGTTGGGAAATGGAGGGAGGGGGAAAAGACGGAGGGACGGAGTTGGGAAATCGAGGGAGGGGGGAAAAGACGGAGGGACGGAGTTGGGAAATCGAGGGAGGGGGGAAAAGACGGAGGGACGGAGTTGGGAAATGGAGGGAGGGGGGAAAAGACGGAGGGACGGAGTTGGGAAATCGAGGGAGGGGGGAAAAGACGGAGGGACGGAGTTGGGAAATCGAGGAGGGGGGAAAAGACGGAGGGACGGAGTTGGGAAATCGAGGGAGGGGGGAAAAGACGGAGGGACGGAGTTGGGAAATCGAGGGAGGGGGGAAAAGACGGAGGGACGGAGTTGGGAAATCGAGGGAGGGGGGAAAAGACGGAGGGACGGAGTTGGGAAATCGAGGGAGGGGGGAAAAGACGGAGGGACGGAGTTGGGAAATGGAGGGAGGGGGGAAAAGAACGGAGGGACGGAGTTGGGAAATGGAGGGAGGGGGGAAAAGACGGAGGGACGGAGTTGGGAAATCGAGGGAGGGGGGAAAAGACGGAGGGACGGAGTTGGGAAATGGAGGGAGGGGGGAAAAGACGGAGGGACGGAGTTGGGAAATCGAGGGAGGGGGGAAAAGACGGAGGGACGGAGTTGGGAAATCGAGGGAGGGGGGAAAAGACGGAGGGACGGAGTTGGGAAATCGAGGGAGGGGGGAAAAGACGGAGGGACGGAGTTGGGAAATCGAGGGAGGGGGGAAAAGACGGAGGGACGGAGTTGGGAAATCGAGGGAGGGGGGAAAAGACGGAGGGACGGAGTTGGGAAATCGAGGGAGGGGGGAAAAGACGGAGGGACGGAGTTGGGAAATCGAGGGAGGGGGGAAAAGACGGAGGGACGGAGTTGGGAAATCGAGGGAGGGGGGAAAAGACGGAGGGACGGAGTTGGGAAATCGAGGGGGGGGAAAAGACGGAGGGACGGAGTTGGGAAATCGAGGGAGGGGGGAAAAGACGGAGGGACGGAGTTGGGAAATCGAGGGAGGGGGGAAAAGACGGAGGGACGGAGTTGGGAAATCGAGGGAGGGGGGAAAGACGGAGGGACGGAGTTGGGAAATCGAGGGAGGGGGAAAAGACGGAGGGACGGAGTTGGGAAATCGAGGGAGGGGGGAAAAGACGGAGGGACGGAGTTGGGAAATCGAGGGAGGGGGGAAAAGACGGAGGGACGGAGTTGGGAAATCGAGGGAGGGGGGAAAAGACGGAGGGACGGAGTTGGGAAATCGAGGGAGGGGGGAAAAGACGGAGGGACGGAGTTGGGAAATCGAGGGAGGGGGGAAAAGACGGAGGGACGGAGTTGGGAAATCGAGGGAGGGGGGAAAAGACGGAGGGACGGAGTTGGGAAATCGAGGGAGGGGGGAAAAGACGGAGGGACGGAGTTGGGAAATCGAGGGAGGGGGGAAAAGACGGAGGGACGGAGTTGGGAAATCGAGGGAGGGGGGAAAAGACGGAGGGACGGAGTTGGGAAATCGAGGGAGGGGGGAAAAGACGGAGGGACGGAGTTGGGAAATCGAGGGAGGGGGGAAAAGACGGAGGGACGGAGTTGGGAAATCGAGGGAGGGGGGAAAAGACGGAGGGACGGAGTTGGGAAATCGAGGGAGGGGGGAAAAGACGGAGGGACGGAGTTGGGAAATCGAGGGAGGGGGGAAAAGACGGAGGGACGGAGTTGGGAAATCGAGGGAGGGGGGAAAAGACGGAGGGACGGAGTTGGGAAATCGAGGGAGGGGGGAAAAGACGGAGGGACGGAGTTGGGAAATCGAGGGGGGGGGAAAAGACGGAGGGACGGAGTTGGGAAATCGAGGGAGGGGGGAAAAGACGGAGGGACGGAGTTGGGAAATCGAGGGAGGGGGGAAAAGACGGAGGGACGGAGTTGGGAAATCGAGGGGGGGGGAAAAGACGGAGGGACGGAGTTGGGAAATCGAGGGAGGGGGGAAAAGACGGAGGGACGGAGTTGGGAAATCGAGGGAGGGGGGAAAAGACGGAGGGACGGAGTTGGGAAATCGAGGGAGGGGGGAAAAGACGGAGGGACGGAGTTGGGAAATCGAGGGAGGGGGGAAAAGACGGAGGGACGGAGTTGGGAAATCGAGGGAGGGGGGAAAAGACGGAGGGACGGAGTTGGGAAATCGAGGGAGGGGGGAAAAGACGGAGGGACGGAGTTGGGAAATCGAGGGAGGGGGGAAAAGACGGAGGGACGGAGTTGGGAAATCGAGGGAGGGGGGAAAAGACGGAGGGACGGAGTTGGGAAATCGAGGGAGGGGGGAAAAGACGGAGGGACGGAGTTGGGAAATCGAGGGAGGGGGGAAAAGACGGAGGGACGGAGTTGGGAAATCGAGGGAGGGGGGAAAAGACGGAGGGACGGAGTTGGGAAATCGAGGGAGGGGGGAAAAGACGGAGGGACGGAGTTGGGAAATCGAGGGAGGGGGGAAAAGACGGAGGGACGGAGTTGGGAAATCGAGGGAGGGGGGAAAAGACGGAGAACGGGAAGGAGCGAGGGGGAACAGGAGGGGAGGGAAGGGGAGGGAGGGACCAGGGAAAGGAGGGAGGGAGGGGGGGCAGTAGAGAGCGGGCTATGGAGTTTGTGCCCACCCAGAAGTCCCAGGGGCCAGTCGATTCGCTAAGAGCAGACTCACCAGTGTTTTAGAGAGCGTGCAGGGGTTGCAGGGCAGGCAGTTGACCCAGAGCAGGTTGCTGCCCGTGTCTATGTCCAGATTGAACGTCTGTGGCGGAGTGCCGATGCCCAGCTGCACGTAGTATATGCTGCACACAAGGGGAATCAGGTTGGGAGTTAGATAGGCAGGCAGTTGGGGGGAAGAGAGGAGGCGGGGGAGGAGGGGAAGCGGAGGGGGGAAGTTGGCAGGCAGTTGACCCAGAGCAGGTTGCTGCCCGTGTCTATATCCAGATTGAACGTCTGTGGCGGCGTGCCGATGCCCAGCTGTACGTAGTATATGCTGGGCGCGGGGAGGATGGGGAGTGACAGTGGGGTAAACGAGAGGTAGGGTGGGGAGGATGGGGAGTCAGGGCGGGCGAGAGAGATGGGCAGATGGGGAGTAATTTTGGGGGTGAAGAGAGGCGTGAGATAGGCAGGCAGTTGACGACCCAGGGCGGATTGGTCCCCATGTCAAGAAAGCTCAGGACAGCCATGTCAATTGAAGTATCGGGGTGTAAGCCTACCCGTTAGGGTATGTGGCCCCCAGCAGCCCTGCTGTAGCCGTTATGCCCAGTTTCCTCCCACGGTAGTTACCGGCACCACCGCCTCCGTCTCCTCCACTCAATTCACTCCCCCCTTCTCCCTCTATTCCGCCCTCCTGCCCCTGAACCATCAACATCCGTGACCTGTGCCGAGCCTTGTCACTCTCCACTAGCGACAAATAATGCTGCCCAAACGCGTGCCCAGCAGACGAATTCTCCTGCGAGTTCCACGAAGCCGCAGAAGCCGCTGACGTGGCAGGTCTGGGCACGGGAATGGACGAGGTCGCGGGAGGGTCGGGCGACGGACGGGAGTGGTCCGGCGGGGAAGCCGTAGCGGCAGTGGTGGCAACGGAAGGATGAGCAGCCAATCGGCTGTTGATCCGCAAAACGTGGAGCCCGTGAACGCCGTCGATGAGATCTGCGAACGCACGAGGACCTTTCCGGCCGTCCGCCGCGGTTTTCCCGTCGGTTCTACTGGAGAATGATCCAGCGGAGGTTTCGCGACCAGAGCAATCCGCGGAGGTTCCTCCAGCCATGCAGCTTGAAAGACCACCAAAATGTTCAGAAGTACTATCCCCGTTAGTGCCAGGCACGTTATACGTTTCGTGAACGGGCATTGGCGACGCTGTGGTGATCGTCATTGTGGGGAATGTTAACCCTGTGGCTACTAGGAAAGCGACGAATAAGCATGATAGGAGGTTCTGCGGGTGCCATAGGGAGTGACGCCGCTTTCGCGAAGGACTTGACGTGGTAGACAGCCGTGAGAACATTCTAGTAGACGGTCTGAAGAAAAGGGTCGAGGTATTGTTACATAAGTAGTGGATGCGACCTGCGCTGCCAGTTCCTGTTCTTCTCCCTTGTGTTTTGTTTGGGACCTCGGACGAGAGGAGGTAGACTGGCTTTCTGAAGCTACCACGATCAACGCGCCTAGTAGTGGCACCCATTGCAAGACATTTCATCGAGAATAAGTCTCCGCATAAGATAAATAAAAGAACGAGTCAGCGTGACACCTTGGCCTACGAATACGACAACGCTAGTACCACCTTGGGTGGGGAAGGGCTACTGGAATATGTCACATGAGGGGAGGTGCTAAGGACTCCCTTATCAACGGATATTAGACAGAATGACTAACAGATAGCAGTGAACGACTGCGATCTTATGATAGGAAAGTGATAGCAGTGAGGACCCCAGTTCCTACTCAACTCATACTTGTTTCCCCTCACCGTGGAGCCAACAACTGATTGGGGATGACCTTGATGTTGGTCGTCGTGAAATTGGCAAATCGGCATTCCCAGTGCCATGGCTCGCGTGGTGGTATTTCCCATGCACTGAGGTTCGTTTCAATTCTGTTCGGTGGTTCTAGTGTCACCTGAAGTGCCCGTGCTGGTTGGAAGCGGAACACTGGGGGGAGAACTGTTCGAGTCCGGTTCCTCGTCCAATTGGAACGCCGATTGCAGAATGCTCATCGCGACTCCACCAGCATGTCAGAATGTCAGTACTGTATTAGAATCGCAATACAAGATGCTGTGTTTTATAAACGAGATTTAGCAAACATCGTTTCATATATGATCACATGTACTACATTTCTCCTCGCAAATTTGACTTGAAATAAAATTAATAAAGAAAATTATATAATAAATTTTTTAATGCATAATATTACGCAATATTTTTTCATCCTTTTCCAGGCTATGCGAATCAAATTATAGTTTTTTTTCCCAAAGCCTTGGATAATGCAAATACTTTGTTACAACCAGAATGAATATGACCCGCAACAATGATTGTCATGAAGTTTGACATCCATGACTTGTTGACTACCAATCAAAATGGCAGAATATCATATGTCATCCTGCCAGCGCACCTCGACGAATGGTTCTGCTTGTTTCTAGGGCAGCGTTTTATCCAATCGCAAATTAAGTTTCAGCGCGCAATCTCACGTCCCTACCCAATCAAACACGTGCCAGAGCCTTCATCCGCGATTGTCCGTCTCCGCGGCTTCCAAAATCCTTGGATTGCCAACGACCGTTGCTCACACGAGACGGGAAAACGAACAGATTTCAGGGGCGGTCAGTCCCACGTTTTCTTCATTTCCTACGTAATTATAAATTTCAACATTGGAAAATCTGTCGGTTTGTTGTGTTGGCCACCAATTTCGTCATTTGCAGCTTCGAACCAGAGAAAGTATGTTTTCAACTGCCCGTCGATTCTCCATCATATCCTCTAGTGCGCGCTTCGCCAACTCCCAGCATCAGATTTGTGCACTACCTCGCCTCTCCCTCCCTCCATCCCATTTCTCCTGCTCCTTCCTCCCGTCTCTGTCTGGATTTGCTACGTTGGAATTGTGGGCTTATTTGGAGCACATTAGTTGGGTGCGCACATTCCAGCACAGCATCTGCTTTGCTGGTTGGTTATCCCCTCCACCTCCATTTTCCTACACCGTCTCGCTTCGCACCACAGGCACACCGTCCAACTCAGCCAGAAATATAGCTTCTAAGTGGTTCGTCCTCGTTGACACCTGTGTGCTTCCTTTTCACAGACGTGTTTTACCAGTCACGTTCACCTTCCGCCGACTCAGGCTACTCAAATAGCACGCGCCAAGCGTGTGGAAAGCTACAGCGTCGTACCGCACGTCGCGAAGTTTCTCTTCCAACTCCCTCATCCGGTCAACAGGCTTCTGGGAGAAGCGCACGCATTCGAAGCACAAGAGAGAGAAAGAGCGTGTGGGAACCAGTTCCATCGACTCATAAAACTCACCTCTACACTCACTGGCCTCTCAACTGCTGCATATCCACCTGACATATCTACCACCACCGGGAATTCGAGCATCTTGCGCTCACTCACCGTCCGCACGCTACTTGCCATCCGCACTCGGGGATTGTGACCTCCGACGCAGAAATTTGTAAGTTTGGTGTCTAACCATGGCGGCAACAGCAGCTGCAGGTTGCAAGCACCACCTCCTCCGCCCACTACCCTCGCCCGTTGCGGCGGCTCGTATAACGCCCCTGAGAACGGCAGTGACGCTCTCTGCAGCGTGTGGCGCACCGAAGCTTCCCGCCGTCCGCGCAACAGCTGCGCCATCCGCGGGGAAGCAGCAGTCCCCGCCGGCAACGGCGGGACCGACGGCTCAGTCGCAGTTCAGTTCTGACCCAGCGACGATGTCCCACAGCACGCGCGGGAGCAAGGACACCGCGATTCGCGCCGCACCGTCATTATCTGTCATCGAGCGCGACGTCACTTCCCCAGACGTTAACGGTAACGGAGCCGCCAACGGAGCATCTGCCTCCGTCAATTCATCAAAGCAACAGCTGGAGCTGGAAATCCTGCCATCGTTCGTGCCGCAAGAGCTCACAGCCGCAGCAGACATCTCAGAAGCTTTTCTCTCTCCGGAATCCTCCGCACTTCTGTCGCTGTCGGTACTCGAACCCGCGACCTCTCCGCAACGGCAAGAGCCCGAGGCGGAGGCGGCGGAGGAACGCGGAAACAACAGCAGTAGCGCTGAAGTAACGGATGATGCGGGAAAAGCAAAGGAGGACGAAAGCTGGCTTAGGCTGATGACGCAGGCTGGGTACTCGAAGCGCATGGAGGCAATCGGCGATCAGTTCTTTGAATCGGACTTGCGGCCTGTCGTCCTCTTTGATGGTGAGACTATAATGTTCGATCGCAAACCTCGGACTTTAATGTCCAATGCAGAATCGGACTTGCGGCCTGTCGTCCTCTTCGATGGTGAGACCGCAAACCTCGGACTATAATGTTTGATGCAGAATTGAACCTTAATCTGCTTCATCTCCTCACAAAGCCATGCTCGTTTGCGCCGTCTCCTTCCGCTCTCTGTCTACTGTCCTTGGAAATTAGGCACCCATGATCTTAATCGTCTCTCGTGTCTCGTGCTGTTGTTTATCCGTCTTTCGTCTCTTCTCTCGTGCGCGTCGTCCCCTCCAGGCGTGTGCAACCTGTGCAACAAGTGGGTCAACTTTCTTCTCGACTATGATCCGCTCGGGTAAGACGCCGCTTCTGTCTTGCTGTCTTCCCCCATACCATCCCCTCCTCCCTCCCTTCTTCCCCTTCATCGCCTCGCTCCCCGTCCTCCTCATCCCCCACTCCCCCTTTCTCCCCCTCGTTCCCATGCATTCCCACTCCATCCTTCTCCTCGCGCCGTCCTAGTCTTTCCCAACTTCCTCCCATCGCGCTTGTAGGCTGCACGTTGCTTCCATCCCGCCTAACTGCATCTCTCGCTTCGATGTTGAATTCACCCAATATTCTGTGTTCTGTTGTTTCCTTGCTTGTTCCGCAGCAATCTGCGCTTCGCCTCGCTGCAGGGCGACTCGGGGAAGGCCCTTCTCCGCCGCGCAGGTCGCGACGAAAACGACCACTCGGACATTGTCCTCGTTGCACACAACAAGTGAGTTCTGCGCGTGTAGATCGTCTTATACCCCGTACGATTCGCATTATGTTTCTTTGGAGCCTCTTTCTGATAATCATATTTCTTAAATTCACACTGCACATACGGCGCATCTTTCTACTGCGTACAAGCACAAATGTCCACAGCTATTCATCCGAGCACCCAAGTCCCCTGGTCTCTGATAGGGAAAAAGAACTCCCAACTTCCACATCGTCTCTTTACCTTCATTAACATCCTCCTCTTACGCTCACCCTCCCTCCCCCGTCCTCTTCCGTTTTCTTCCTTCCAGGGCGTATTTCGGCTCTGACGCAATCCTTCAAATCTTCTCCCGGTTGAAGCCGCCTTTCCCTCTCCTAGCTGCGGCGGGCCACATCACACCGCATGCCCTCCACGACTTCATCTACAAGACCGTGTCTGAAAGCCGGTACACGCTCTTTGGCAAGGCGGATGCATGTAGACTGTTCGACCCCCGTTTTGGGCAACGCTTCTTGCCTAGTGATCTGAGTCAATAGTAGGGAGGGGGTCATGTTTGGGAATGAAGATGGATACGCAAATAATGCTGGCCTATCCACAAGAATTCCATGCAGCATGGAGAACAGCATATTTATTGGACGAGTGTCTCTGGGCGAATTGTCGGCTGTGGCTGTATATACTCCGTCGTGGGTTGGGAAGGGACATGTGTGGAACTGCTTGGTGTAAGGCAGCCCAATTGGATTGTCGACTAATTATGAATCGGAATTATTGCGTTTTCACAGTCATTGATAATGGAAGGGTTTCCTTTCCTCATTGGTCTCAAGGGTGCCTGCTGCTCACGGGGAAGCACGGCGACAGCTGCAGTTATTTCTGTCTACTGATGATTAGTGCTGATGTTTGAAGGGTTGAGAAGGAACATGGGTTGTGGGCAGGTGGTTCTGCCCTGCTATCAATCTCTATGCAACATTAGGTCGACATGGTGCTGCTATTGAGCAGCCATTGCGAAGTCATCAGAGCGTTATGATGCAGGGCGACGTTCACTATTGGAGCTGCCGTATGCCATCTTTGTATGAAGTATGCATAATAGGCAAGGTGAGCCACAAAGCTCTCATCTCATGCAAGATACCAAAATTTTGATGTGTATGAAACGAAGATGGCTGTAACGAATGTTTAGATTGGATAACGAGACTGGTACAATTGTATCAACTTCCAGGTTGCTACTCTTGCTTCTCTCAGAGCTGTTCCCATGCGCTTCGACAATGTGCGCCAAGCCAACCATAAGCAACCACACTCCACGAGTGGCCCTCAGCGGAACAACAGGTCAGGCACCAATCAGGCGTGGCGATCACACTGCACCAAGCCTATAGGGCTACTGCCCAGCTTGAGCACCAGCCACGGCAGGACAAGACAACGCTGGCACGGTGGCACTGGCACCTGTGGCTGGATAGAAAGCGGCGCGAATGAAACCGAATCGCGAAATGCCTAGGGTCTGACAAACAAAAATTCACCAAGCAGGACAGCACATTCGATTCAACACATAACTTTCCCTCATAAGCTTGCACCCACAACTTTCGCTCATTTTTTTTCTTGAGCTGCTCTTCCAACGAACATTACCATTCCGCATTTTCTCGACCTCGACCTCGACCTCGACTCGGATTTTGGGATTTAGACTAAAGCACTCTGAAACGCGTGCCAGAAACAGTTTTCCCACGGCAATCCATTCCCAGCTGACCTCGTGTAATCAGCTAAAGGCAGCGTCGTGGTTAGGAATTGGCGCAGCAACGACGTAATACAGCAGGCAGCACTTACCAGAATGGGGAGGAACAGCAGACACGTAGTTTGCCTCCGTTTGGTTCTCGCGCTTGCGTTTCTCCTCTCCGCCCGCGCCGCGCCCCGAACCTCCTCATCTCACAGCTCCGGCCCGGACCTGAGCTACAGAATCCGCGGGCTCAATAAAATACCCCATGGTCGTAAACTCCTCGCCGTGAAAGCGACTGTTGCTGACGTGGACGGCATTGACGCTGATGTAACGAGTGCTGAAATCACGCCGGGTAGGGATGGACTCGAAACGACGCAGCCCGAATCCGCCTCCGCATCCGAGAATCTCGAGGCCACTACGGAGGACGTGCTTATATCGGACGACGAATCGTCGTCGCCGTCAAAAGACGATAATCTGGCGGACGCCTACCATATCCTTCATCATCGAATCACCCAACCCGCCGGGGAGTCTGCACCCGCTGAAACTTCCGCCGATGAAGCTTCCTCGAAGACAAACGAATCGACGCGCCCGGACGCGGGGCAGCAGGGCAGCAGCGAGCTCAGCGGAGGCGACTTGGGATACGGCCCGGAACTCCAGGCGTTTGATGACGTCACGGAGCCGGATGACGGAATCGCGGAAGACGCGGAAGAAGCGGATGATTTGGAAGAGGAGGATGATTTGGAGGAGGACTACTCGGTAGGGATGTCGGAACTTGGGAATGCAAAAGACGACGATGACGATGACGTGGAATGGGAAGAGGATCTCGATTTCCTGGTGAAACCTGACGAGGAGGCCGTGCTGGAGAAGGATGCGACAAGTGAGGCTGCGGGGGGATTGGCGGAAGGCGGGGGATTGGCGGACGGAGCAACTGCGCAAGTTGCGGTATCGGATCAGGTGGAACAGGGAGGGCTGGCCGTTGCTGCAACGGACGACATCAATAAGGGGCCTGAGCCGCAGGTGTTTGATGACGTTAACGAGCCTGAGGCTAATAACGCGGATGGGACTGAAACGGCTACAGTAAGAGACGGAAACAAGGGAGGATCTAATGCTGAAGCTTTGGAAGAAAGCAAGGAGGAGACGAGCAGTGTGAGTGACAATAAAGAGGGAGGAGGGATTGAGGAAGGGTTGAAGGACATTGTTGACATTGATGCAGGAATTACTGCGAACCCCATCAGCATGGTCCTGGAGGAGGATATCGAGGCTGCTAATAAAGGGGCAGAGGAAGTTCCAGACGTAGAGGGGCACCGGCGGGTGCTTTGGATGCTGGAGAATGCTTTGGATACAGAGATGGATGCTTGATGGTGGTGGTGGCTGTTGGCTGTATGAATAAATGCAATGTCACAAGGGGTGCATTTGACCTAAGGAGGGGCACCGTCGGGTGCTGTGGATGCTGGTAAAAGCAATTGATACAGAGATAGAGGCTTGACGATGGTGGCTGTTGGGTAAAAACGAATAATCTCAAGGCCCAGGGGGGGATGGCACTTTAGTTGATGTAAGGAGAGGCACAGGAGGGTGCTGTGGATGCAGGGGAAACGCAGAGATGTAGGCTTCACGGTTGCCTTGTTGCTCCTTATCTAGGAAGAACAAATGAAGTGAGCGTGATTCTCCCATTTGTACATGTTTATAGTTGACTGTATTTCCAGCTAAACAGCTATACAAGGCTACCTGTACATTCTTCCTGCCATACTGTGCTTATTCCAGTTTACATTAGGTTACAGCTTGCTTTTGGAACTACAGAATGCTATATTCTCCTTCAAATATGCTTACATCTACTTGAAACATCACCCCTCAATACCCCTCATCACCGCATCTGCTTGCTCCGCTCCACATACCCCACGAGATGCTTCAACGCCCGCCCACTATCCACCGCCTCTCTCGCCCTCTCCACCGCAGCTTCCAACCCAATCGCCCTCGCTCCCCACCCCAGCAGGTGATCCTGCACCGCTGCATTGAACACTATCCTGTCATATGCTGGCCCTTTGATCCCTCTCAGTGCCTCCAGGCCTAAATCTAGATTCTTCTGTGCCTGTTCAACAAGATAAATTCGATGGAGAGAGGCAGGGAATGGAGGGAAGGGAGAGAAGGGAGAGATCCAGGCAGGAGGTTAGTCCGCATTGCAGCAGCCACCCCCCCCCCCCCCCCCCCCCCACCCCAGCAGGTGATCCTGCACCGTTGCATTGAACACTATCCGGTCATACACCGGCCCTCTGATTCCTCTCAAGGCTTCCAGACCAAGGTCTAGATTCTTCTGTGCCTGTTGGAGGGGAAGGATAGGGGGATGGGGCAGGGAGGGGGGGAGGGGAGGAGGGGGGAGGGGGGGGGGTGGGGAGGGGTGGGAATCAGACAGTAGGTGCGTGTGACACGCACTGCTGCTGCAGTTTTGAGTCGACTCAAAACTGGGTGGGAATCAGACACACAGTGGGTGCATGTGACACACACTGCTGCTGCTGCAACGCCCCCAACCCGCCCCCCACTCCACCCCACCAGATGATCCTGCACCGCAGCATTGAACTCTATCCTGCCATATGCCGGCCCCGACAACAAGTTATTTGAAAATACTCCAGGAATATTTGAGAATTCTCAGAAATACCTTGCACTTGAAATGACTCACGGATCTGTCAATTCGCGGTGTGAGGGTCTCTTCCATCCCAGCTGCAACAGCGTCAGCCTCCATCGAAAACGTTTCACGGTAAAACCCGTCCTCCTCCCCTCCACTCTCACTCTCCTCCCCTCCCTCCGCTCCCCTCCTTCCTCCTCTCTCCGCCCATCCACTCCCACTGCTCCCCGGCCGAAACCCCGCGCAGTAGTTCACCGGGCGGCCTTTTTTGGCAGCATCCGGGGCCGGGCGGCGGGTCATGAGAGCCAAAGAGCCCTCCTCGCCCTTCACCACGAGTCCTGCTTCCACGGGCTGCCTGCGCATGAGCATGAGCAGCGGTTCCTCATAGCCCTCGTGATAGAATCCAGCTACCATGGCTTCTCGCCCTGATGCCTGGAGTTACATGAAGGGGAGCAGGTAAAGGTAGAAAAGAAAGGGGGAACAAGCGGTAAGGAACAAGGGAAAAAAGCCATAAAAACAGAGGAAAAACACCCTCCTCGCCCTTCACCACGAGCCCTGCTTCCACCGGCTGTCGTCGCATGAGCATCAGCAGAGGCTCCTCGTATCCCTCATGGTAAAACCCTGCCACCATGGCTTCCCTTCCGGATGCCTGGTGGGGTAGAAAGGGGAGTGGGGTAGGAATAGGTACAAAGGGGTAACCAGTGAAGCCAAAGACCCCTCTTCGCCCTTCACCACGAGCCCTGCTTCCAAGGGCTGTCACCGCATGAGCATCAGCAGAGGCTCCTCGTATCCCTCGTGATAGAATCCTGCTATCACGACTTCCCTCCCTGATGCCTGACATTAAAAAAGGGCGAGGAGAGGGGAGGGGAGGGGAAGGATAGGGAGAGGAGGAGGAGGAGCTGTGTCCCCTCTCCGCCCTTCACCACGAGCCCTGCTTCCACGGGCTGCCTGCGCATCAGCATCAGCATAGGTTCCTCATACACACAAACGTAAAGGAAACGCAGCTACCATGGCTTCTAGCCCTGATGCCTGTGGTTGCATGAAGAATGCAGAGAAGGTAGAGTAGAGGCAGCAATGGGAGAGGGTAGAAGCCATAAGAAGAGGTTTTTTTTATGCTACCCTCTCGCATAAGAAGAGCGTGATACCTGAATTTGGACGAACAAGCGCATGCTCGCTCACATGGATGTAGCGCTGCACTTTCTTCGTGGTGGCAAATGTTGGACGGGTTTTTTCACGCATGGTAGCATATCACGTACACACAAACGCATGCTCGCTCACATGAATGTATCGCTGCCACCTGGGTGCTAGCCATGGTTGCCAAGCTCACATGTATGTATCGCTGCCACATGGGTGCTAGCCATGGTTGCCAAGCTCACATGTATGTATCGCTGCCACATGGGTGCTAGTCATGGTTGCCAAGCTCACATGTATGTATCGCTGCCACATGGGTGCTAGCCATGGTTGCCAAGCTCACATGTATGTATCGCTGCCACATGGGTGCTAGCCATGGTTGCCAAGCTCACATGTATGTATCGCTGCCACATGGGTGCTAGCCATGGTTGCCAAGCTCACATGTATGTATCGCTGCCACATGGGTGCTAGCCATGGTTGCCAAGCTCACATGTATGTATCGCTGCCACATGGGTGCTAGCCATGGTTGCCAAGCTCACATGTATGTATCGCTGCCACATGGGTGCTAGCCATGGTTGCCAAGCTCACATGTATGTATCGCTGCCACATGGGTGCTAGTCATGGTTGCCAAGCTCACATGTATGTATCGCTGCCACATGGGTGCTAGCCATGGTTGCCAAGCTCACATGTATGTATCGCTGCCACATGGGTGCTAGCCATGGTTGCCAAGCTCACATGTATGTATCGCTGCCACATGGGTGCTAGCCATGGTTGCCAAGCTCACATGTATGTATCGCTGCCACATGGGTGCTAGCCATGGTTGCCAAGCTCACATGTATGTATCGCTGCCACATGGGTGCTAGCCATGGTTGCCAAGCTCACATGTATGTATCGCTGCCACATGGGTGCTAGCCATGGTTGCCAAGCTCACATGTATGTATCGCTGCCACATGGGTGCTAGCCATGGTTGCCAAGCTCACATGTATGTATCGCTGCACTTTCTCTGTGGTGGCAAACGTTGGACGCTTCTTGATGTGCCTCCGCATATCCACCAATGAGTAGCTGCCACATGGACGAAAGGGAGCATAGGGAGGCGGAAACCAAGGAGAGGGGAACGAGGGAAGACAGGAACACGGAGGGAAGATGAATGGAAGAATGCAGAACGACTGATTGAAAGGTTGCCAGGTGATTGAAACACGATAAAAGTACCATGTCGTTCGCGTTCGCGAGAGAGAGAGAGAGAGAGAGAGAGAGAGAGAGAGAGAGAGAGAGAGAGAGAGAGAGAGAGAGAGAGAGAGAGAGAGAGAGAGAGAGAGAGAGAGAGAGAGAGAGAGAGAAGTTAAAGCCATGAGCAGGGTATTCCTACATGTCGGCAATCCCACAGGGTTGGGAAGAGGAGCTTTTGAGTCGACTCAAAAGTCACCTACAGACAGAAGATTGACGCCGCAGATACAAGCAAGGAGGGAGAGGAGGAACGGGTTGACTTTTGAGTCAACACGACGACTCAAAAGTCAACACGACGCAGATACAAGCAGGGAGGGAGAGGAGGAACGGTAAGGGATGGGAAAGGTAGAAGGAAAGGGAGGAAGGGAGGGAGGTAAGTAACCCACCACGAGGGAGAGCAATCCTTGAGGCTGAGATAGGCCATGTGGACTTGAGGGTCCTGCATATGGAGGACACAGGCATAAAAGCAGCAGGGATGGAGGCGATAAGAGCATCAGAACAGACAGAGGCTTTCCTCTGGTTGCTCAAAGGGAGTCACTTTTGAGAGTTCTCAAAAGAGTAGTCCTCGAGGCTGAGATACACCATGTGGATAGCAGAAATGCGGACTCAAGGCACATGCTTTTTTGAGAATTCTCAAAAAAACAGAGAGACATGGGCAGCAGGCGATTTTTGAGACGTCTGAAAAGTCACCAAGTGCACATGAGGCACCTGCAGAGACATGAGGTGACTTTTGAGTCACCTAGATTTTTGAGATGTGAGTCGACTCAAAAGCTCCTCTTCCTCAAAAGTCACCAAGATTTTTGAGACGTGAGTCGACTTAAAAGCTCCTCTTCCTCAAAAGTCACCTAGATTTTTGAGATGTGAGTCGACTCAAAAGCTCCTCTTCCTCAAAAGTCACCTCGATTTTTGAGACTTGAGTCAACTCAAAAGCTCCTCTTCCTCAAAAGTCACCTCGATTTTTGAGACTTGAGTCGACTCAAAAGCTCCTCTTCCTCAAAAGTCACCTCGATTTTTGAGACTTGAGTCGACTCAGCAGCAGCAGCAGCAGCAGCAGCAGCAGCAGCAGCAGCAGCAGCAGCAGCAGCAGCAGCAGCATGAGCATTTCTGTTGGGAACACATCTCACCTCCAAAATAGCAGCAGCTTGCGCAGTCGAGAGGCTGGTGTTGGCCCCCAAAAGGCTAAGCATTGCCTCCTCTGTGGCTCCTAACTGAAGGGCGAGAGGCGCGAGAGGTGAGGTGGGGGGGGAAGGGGTTGAGATTGAAAGGTACAATATGGAAAAGACACGGAAGCCGATAAAATCATCACCTTCAGCGTTTTAATCAATCCACCACCACCAAACCGTTTTTTTCTGGGCTTCTCTGCACCTCTGTTTCACCTTGAGAATGTCCACCCAATCAATTTTTGAGGCGCCTCAAAAATCCACCACCACCAAGCAATTTTTTCTGGGCTTCTCTGCACCTCTGTTTCACCTTGAGACAGTCCACCCAATCACGCACCTTGGGCGGAAAGGCGTCCACTTTTGAGTCGACTCAAAAGCTGTTTCACTCTGAGACTGTCCACCCAATCACGCACCTTGGGCGGAAAGGCGTCCACTTTTGAGTCGACTCAAAAGCTGTTTCACTCTGAGACTGTCCACCCAATCACGCACCTTGGGCGGAAAGGCGTCCACTTTTGAGTCGACTCAAAAGCTGTTTCACTCTGAGACTGTCCACCCAATCACGCACCTTGGGCGGAAAGGCGTCCACTTTTGAGTCGACTCAAAATCTGTTTCACTCTGAGACTGTCTACCCAATCACGCACCTTGGGCGGAAAGGCGTCCACCCCATGCAGCAGGCACGCCTCTCCACAGGCGGACCTGACTGCCCTCACCTCACCCCTTGCCCAGTCTCTCACCGTAGGAGGGAAGGGAAACACCTTCCATACGACGCACCTTGGGGGGAAATGCCTCAACCCCATGCAATAGGCACCCCTCTCCACAGCTCGCCCTGACTGCCGCCACGAAGAGCGTCGGGCGGAAGTAGCGCGTGGTGCCGTCAACACCCACCCACCAACCAACCCTGTCAATGCATCTTACTTAGGAGAATCCCTGCCATACGACGCACCTTGGGGGGGAAGGCGTCCACCCCATGCAATAGGCACGCCTCTCCATAACTCGCCCTGACTGCCGCCACGAAGAGCGTTGGGCGGAAGTAGCGAGTGGTGCCGTCGTAGGGCTCGCCGTAGTGCGTCAGTGAGGGCACTCTTGCAATGGGGGCTGGTCCCAGCTCCTGGGGGAAGAGAGGCGAGCAAAAAGAAGAGGGGAGGGAGTGGGGAAAGAGGGTGTTGAGAGCGACGTGTTTGAAGAAGTGTTTTGAGAGGGGAGCGACGTGTCTCAAAACACTTCTTCAAAAAGAAGAGGGGAGGGAGTGGGAGTGGGGAAAGAGGGTGTTGAGAGCGTCTGGCAGAAGTAGCGCTGTGCTGCCGTCCTAGGGGTCGCCGTAGTGGGTCCTACGGCGATCCCTAGGACGGTCAGTGAATTGGGGTCAGAAAAGGCACTCTCGCAATGGGGGCTGGACCCAGCTCCTGAAGGGAACAAAAGGGTGGACATAACATTGTAAGTGCCTGCTGCTGTTGTAGGGCTCGCCGTAGTGGGTCAGTGAAGGCACTCTCGCAATGGGGGCTGGACCCATCTCCTGAAGGGAACAAAAGGGTGGACATAACATTGTAAGTGCCTGCTGCTGTTGTAGGGCTCGCCGTAGTGGGTCAGTGAAGGCACTCTTGCAACTGGGGCTGGACCCATCTCCTGAAGGGAACAAAAGGGTGGACGTAACATTGTAAGTGCCTGCTGCCGTCGTAGGAGGCGGAGGGGGAAGAAGAGAACAAGGGCCGGGATAGGATCTGATGGTTGAAGCGGGGGTGCACGAGGAGTATGAGCCATGCGCACGGCAATCAGCCATCAGCCATCAGCAATCAGCCATCAGCAATCAGCCATCAGCAATCAGCAATCAGCCATCAGCAATCAGCAATCAGCCATCAGCAATAAGCAATCAGCAATAAGCAATCAGCCATCAGCAATCAGCAATCAGCAATAAGCAATCAGCAATCAGCAATCAGCAATCAGCCATCAGCCATCAGCAATCAGCAATCAGCCATCAGCAATCAGCAATCAGCAATCAGCCATCAGCAATCAGCCATCAGCCATCAGCAATAAGCAATCAGCAATAAGCAATCAGCCATCAGCTATCAGCAATCAGCAATCAGCAATAAGCAATCAGCAATCAGCAATCAGCAATCATCAATCAGCCATCAGCCATCAGCAATCAGCCATCAGCAATCAGCAATCAGCCATCAGCAATCAGCAATCAGCAAACAGCAATAAGCAATCAGCAATCAGCAATCAGCAATCAGCAATCAGCCATCAGCCATCAGCCATCAGCAATCAGCAATCAGCAATCAGCAATCAGCAAACAGCAATCAGCCATCAGCCATCAGCAATAAGCAATCAGCCATCAGCAATCAGCCATCAGCAATCAGCAAACAGCAATCAGCCATCAGCCATCAGCAATAAGCAATCAGCAATAAGCAATCAGCCATCAGCTATCAGTCATCAGCAATCAGCCATCAGCAATCAGCAATCAGCCATCAGCAATCAGCAAAAAGCCATCAGCGATTAGCTGCGAACACAACACTCACTCCTCCTCCTCTCCTCCTCCTCTCTTCCTCCTACGCTGTGAGCATCACACCACACTACCTGATCAAAGGCCAGGCAGAAGGCCTTGAGCTCTCTGTCTGTCTCTCAACTCATGCACGCAGTAATCAGACACGCCGCCACCAGTGCATCGCTCAATCCCCCTGAGCCACCCCCCTCCCCGCTAGCACCACCTCCCCCCTGGCCACCAACTTCCCCCCTGAGCAACCCCCCTCCCCACGTCAGTCACCCACTCCCCTCACTCTGAGCAATACGCCCCTACCTGATCAAAGGCCAGGCAAAACGCCTTGAGCTCTCTGTCTGTCTCGCGGTTCATGCACACAGCTATCAGACACGCCGCCACCAGTGCATCACTCAATCCCCCTGAGCCACCCCCCTCCCCGCTAGCACCACCTCCCCCCTGGCCACCAACTTCCCCCTGAGCCACCCCCCTCCCCCCACGTCAGTCACCCACTCCCCTCACTCTGAGCATCACGCCCCTACCTGATCAAACGCCAGGCAGAAGGCCTTGAGCTCTCGGTCGGTCTCTCGGTTCATGCGCACAGCGATCAGATACGCCGCTACCAGTGCATCGCTCACTCCTCCCACTCCCTCCGCACAGCCGCCTCTCATGGGCAGCAGGTTCTGCAGCAGCGACATGGTTTTCCTGGAAGGACACGGGGACGGGGGCAGCGCACACAGAATAAGGAAAAGCTTGAGAGTTAAGATTCCAACAATCCATTTCATGATCTTTCCTCAACTCCACACCTCATGAGCAGCAGGTTCTGCAGCAGCGACATGGTTTCCTGGAAGGACAGACAGCAAGTGGTTGCAGGGCCAACGAAACCACGCGAAAGCAGAGTAAGGCTTCAATGCAGAGTAGAAGGAAGGTTTCTGAGAATAACCAACAAGCATGTTCAAAGAACCTTATGTTTGGAGACCATGCAATGTAAGAATGCACGAGCGTGCTTGTGGGCGATAATTGAAACGTGAACACGTAATTTCACCCGAGACCATACGCGAGAAATCTCACCTGAGATTCCACCTGAGATCTCACCTGGAAGCCAAGGTGCACACCGAACAGAATGTCCCGCAGGTCCCCCACCACCTGAGCCTCCTGCTCCGACCCATGCCCGAGGAAGGTGGCCCCACAGGCAGAGCATCGCTGAAAATGGAGCCCTGAAGGGTTGTGAGTGGGTGAGACACAGGAAAAGCACAAGGTATGTTTCCCTCCCCAACCAACCACCTGAGCCTCCTGCTCTGACCCATGCCGATGGAAGGTGGGACCCACAGACAGAGCATCGTTGAATATTGAACCCTGAGGGGATGAGGGAGGGACACACAGGAGTAGCACAAGGTATGTTTTCTCCCGCCACATCCCACCACACACCACCGCACCTCACCCCACCCCACACCCCACCACCTGAACTTCCTGCTCCGACCTTAGCCCCTGAAGGTGGGACCCACAGGGAGCGCATAATTGAAAATGGAATGCTGTGGGGATGAGGGGAGCACACGAGATGCTATCAGAGGGGAAGGAGAAGCACAAGGCGTGTGTCTCCCACCCCACCCAAACACACCCCACCCCATCCCAACCGCACCACCTGGCCCTCCTGCTCCAACCCATGCCCGTGGAAGGTGGGGCCACAGGGAGCGAATCAATGAAGAGAACAAGGGTGAGGGGAAGCATTCCAGGCGTTGTACTTGAGGGAAGGAGAGAACAAGGGAATGGCACAAACGAGCGCATCCCGAGGGAGGCGGCACTTGAGGGCCTTTTGAGGCAGCACGTCGCAAAAATACAGAAGATTACCTGAGGGTCGGCAAGGAAGAGCACGTCCCGGGGGAGGTGGTATCTGAGGGCGGGCCACATGTCATCCAGCGCGCGCCTCTCCCCCTCGCTCCACTGCGTGGCGGGGGGAAGCAGTTGGCGCGCACTGTCATGCCCGCAAAGAACCCCCCCATCTGCGCCCGTGACACGCGCTCTGATGGGGGGAGCTCGCCCTTTGCTGGTGTGTGGGGCAGGGGCCATGGGGGAGCGGCAAAGGGAAGGGTTAACTCCACTGAGTGGCGGGCAGGAAGCAGTTGGCGCGCAACGTCATGCTCGCAAAGAACGCCCCCATCTGCGACCGTGACACTCGCTCTGATGGGGGGAGTTCCCCCTTAGCTGGATGGGGACGAACGGGGGGAGACGATGGGGGAAGGAGAGGGGGAAGCAGTTGGCGCGCACCGTGATGCCCGCAAAGAAAGCCCCCATATGCGCCCGTGACACGCGCTCTGATGGGGGGAGCTCGCCCTTTGCTGGTGTATGTGGCAGTGGGGGAGAGAGAAGGGGGAAGGGGGAAGGGGGCAGGGGGCAGGGGGCGGGGGGCAGGGGAGTGGCATGAGAGAGATGAGCGGGGGACGGCGGGGGGAAGGCAGTTGGCGCACATTACCACGCCTGACAGAATACGTGACAGAAAACCTGGGGGGCGTAAACCTGACAGAACATCTGGGGTCGCACCTGACAGAACACCTGAGGGCACACCTGAGAGCAAGATCTGCTCCAACACGCGCCGCATCTCCTCCTCGCCCAACGGCCGGGTCTGCGTGGGTCCCGTGCACACGCGCGCCTGCGCCTCGAGAACCACCTGGTTCGGACCCACGTCATCCTGCAAGAACCTTCCGAGAAACTTCTCGCCGGAATCCTCTTCCCCGATCTCGCGGATCCAGGCCGATACGGACGGCTCAGATCCGCCCGAGGCTTGGCTTGCACCGGTCGCGGCGGAGACGGCTAGACGGTGAAACGAGGGAGAGTCGGTAGGAGCTCTTCGCGCGCTTCGGGTTCGGAGGAAGCGCGTGGGATGAACATGTCTGGGACGGAGTGTCGCGCGTGGGTTATGCGCGGCGCGGGAGCTCGATGGCCCTCCTGATGCTGCGACGGTCGCGGATCGGGCGGATATGAACATCCGAACGCACGATTGCGAGATCCTCGCATGCAATCCGGCGGATCGGTTTGCATGATGCGACCCACGCCGATAGGATTGGTCGCAGGGGATACCAATTGAGGAATCGCGGTGGTGCGATGTGGCAAGGGGGTAGCCAGGGACACCATCATCTGATTTGCGAAAATTATGTTAGCTTCGTGTAGGAGTCGAGTCTATCGCTCGATTCCAGGAGGATAGTTTCGCAGACGGGGACGTGAGATGTCGATGATCACAGAAGGTCGGCATATGGAGAAGTGGGCAAAGATGGACAAATAATTAACTCATTACGATTCATTGTAATAAGCGGTAGACGGAGTGTAGTGCGAGTAACCTTCATTCACGAGATCGCAGTTTCGCTTGTAGCGACGCAATTGGCTGGAAAGTCCACGTGACAGTTACTGTACCTGAAATCAAGGACGTCTTTTGCAAATCTGCCTATCTTGGGATTTCCGTACCTGTCATCACAGGACAGGCCGCGTCACGCATGACTCAGCAGCAGCAATGCCCTGAACAGAAATTCAGCCCAGCGGAATCGGCGTTTCTTGCACGAGCGATTTGGGAACTGATGGGCTGCATAGAGACTGGTGGGTAAGGAGGACCCAGCTGCGGGTGGAATGTGTTGCTGCTTCTGCGACTGGGCAGGGCTGCTGTAGTGCAGAGGTTTCGGGCAGGGGCAGAAGCAAAAACAAAGCACCTCGCAAAGCCTCATGCGGCTCGGAGCACATCAACCATAAGCGAACACGTGCGCATGGCGAAGTTACCGTACCGACCAACAAGAACCTGACAGGTGGGATTCGAGCACACCCAGAAAACGAAGGATCCGCTGCACCGCATTCAACCCATTTGCCTCACCCTAGGGTATACCTATGCTGACATGTTTGTGTTGCCTTCTCATTGCCTCCTAGCCTACCTAGAGACTACCATACCGTACATCTCTAGTTGCTGGTCTACATCCCTGACCTATTTTAGGACTCGCCGCCACCTGCGCCAGTTTTTTTCTTGCGAACCTAGCCCCTGTATTATGGATTTAGTTGTATAGCCGCAATCCGTACGGCAGCTTCGGCAGGGTACGCTACATTCAATCTTCCTAGGGGCTGCTGCAAAGTACATCTCCGAGCTACACATCGGTATTTTTGAGAATTCTCAAAAAACAGATTTAGCCTAGACATCGGTATTTATATTTCAAAAATAAATTTGTTCCGTGCCGAGTTATCCCGCCACCTCGAACGCCAGTATCAAGCGGCCTGTCTGCGTTCCTTTGTTTTCAATCTAGCCAGTCGGACGGCTTTGTTTGCAGCTAGGGCAGCAAACCTGTTCGGCAAGCCTGTTGTAGCAAACAACGCGACGCGGGACTTGCGCTACAACGAACGTATCCTCGACCATCGCGAGAGGTGGAGGCACGAGAGGTAGAGTAACGAGAGGTAGAGGAACGAGAGGTAGAGGAACGAGAGGTAGAGGAACGAAAGCTAGAGTAACGAGAGGTAGAGTAACGAGAGGTAGAAGAGCGCGAGGTAGAAGAGCGCGAGCGATGGGAACCAGACGAGCGTGGTGGACGCGCTGGTCGATCTCGAGTTCCCCGCAGCCGCGGCGACCCCCGCGCGTCCCCCGCCCGGCCACGACCTCCCGATGGGCGTGCTCTCCTTCGAGGTCGCGTCGCTCATGCGGAAAGCGCTTGATCTATGGCGGCAGCTCGACGCGCGGAATATCGCGGGCTTGGAAAAGCAGCTGCAGGTGAGCCCTTTTTTTCCTACCTACTATTCATGTATTTATTTATTGGTATTATTTCCCCAGGCGCAGTCTCCCCTTCCGCAGTCCCCCAGTCGTGCCCGTATTCCGCTCCCCCTCCCCCCAAACACTGCATGGTTCTGCAGACGGACGGGCTGAAGCTTCTGCAGTGTGTGGTCGACTTTTGAGGCGCCTCATTCCTTTGTCTCCCCTCTCTCTGCTCCCTCTTTCCCCCTCCCTCCCCCTCCTCTCCCCCTTCCTTTCCCGCCAGACCGAGGGCTTGAAGCGCCTGGGCGTGGGGGACTACTCCTTCCGCTGGCGCCTGGCGGGCTCGGAGTATGCTTCCGACCTCACCACGCTGACCGCCGCCGTGGGGGTGCTGGCGCGCAGGTGCGGGGGCGCGCGGAGTGGGGAGGTGCTGAAGCGGCTGCGGGGGTACAGCCGCGCATGGAAGCGCGAGGACAGCTTTAGCGAGGCGAGGCGGACGAGCTCATGCGGTGAGGGAGAAGGGCGGGCGGAGGGCGTGACTGTGTTTGTAGCGAGGGCCTGAGATTAACGAGGATGTGAGTGTACGTGGGTGTAACCGAGAGGAAAAAGGGGGAAGGTGCTGAAGCGGCTGCGGGGGTACAGCCGCGCGTGGAAGCGTGAGGACAGCTTCAGCGAGGGCGAGGCGGACGAGCTCATGCGGTGAGGAGGCTGTGGTTTCCAGAATCCCTGGTTTTGGCTCTTTGTCGTTGCCTGCGTTCTTGCCGTATTCTTTGTTGTTTGTTTGTTTGATGTTTTGTTTTTGTTTTGTTTTGTTTTGTTTTGTTTTGTTTTTTTCCAGACTGGCCTTTATTTGTGCCCCTTCTTTTCCTGGCAGGTTCCTGAGGGAACAGTTGGAGCCATGGGATCGCTGCACAACGCAATGCTGGCACTCGATGACGTCATCAACAGGTGGGGCTTTTGAAATTCCTCAAGAGTGATGCAAGCAAGCATCAAACATTATGACTGCTGCGAGCTTCAAACATCATGACTGCTGCGAGCATCAAACATCATGACTGCTGCAAGCATCAAACATCATGACTGCTGCGCCCCAGATAAACCGTGCCCCTTCCCCTCCCCCCTCCCCCATTCCCCCTCTCCCTCCTCCCCCCGCCCACCAGCTTGGCAGGAAACCCGGAACTGCAGAACCCCAAGACCCGCCGCGCTAAGGGGAAGCCCGCAGGCCGCACCCTCTCACTGCTTCCTGTCTCCCCATCTCCCCCCTCCCCCCTCCCCTCTCCCCTCTCCCCTCCCCCCCCCCCCCCCTCCCCCTCCCCTCTCCCCTCCCCCTCCCCTCCGTCCACCAGCGCGGCAGGAGATCCCGAGGTGCAGAACCCCAAGACGCGTCGCCCCAAGGGAAGCCGCAGGCCGCCGTGATGGAACAGGTGGGGTTGGGAGGAGTGAACAATGGGTGGAGTGCGGTGGGGGCCTGTGCTGGAGCAAGCGGGATGGAGGTGGGAGGAGTAATAAGTGGGTGGGGTGCGGTGGATGAATGGTTGTGATTGAACAGCTGGGATGGAGATGGGGAGGGGAGAGAGTTCAAGTCGAGATGTTATTTGGGATGCTCGACTCCCCACCACCATGCTGCGTGTCAGCCCAAAA